AGATGTGGGCGGCTGGATCATCAAATATGGAAGCATGACGGCTGTCGACAAGGCCCTTGACAGCGACCCGTGTGCCAATCACGAATACATCGGTCAGAAGGACAATCTGGTGGAGCAGAAGATTGCAAATCCTGGGATGAGATTGGGAAAAAACAATCTGTTGAAAAATCCCGAGCAGGTTGCTGTGACCGAGGAGAGCAAGCAGGGGCTGCAAGCTCCGAAGAAGCAATTCATGACGCTTTCTGCTTACGAAAAGCGCTATGGATCTGCAGATCCAGCACAAATAAAGGTCATGAAAATCCGCGGCCAGGACGTTCGTGGAGTGGACGTAATAGTTGAGGCTGATCAAGGTGTGTGGACCTATATCGACGAAACGAGCTGTGCGGTACAACGCCAGACAGTGCTCTCCGATGCTGATTTGGTCGTATCAGCTGGGCAGACTGATGTCATTTACACATCGGCCGCTAAGCATTTAAATTGCGCCCCAAGGGACGAGAGCTGCATCACCGTCGGCCAGAACAAGCCTTCATCGGCGGCATCCACCACAGGACTTCCAAACAACGACATGATCGGTGGGGCTACGGCTGCTGCACCAGACGAGGCTCAGTTGTGCGGTTGAGTAGTGCTTGACGGTGCTTGCATTTTGTGTTTTGTTCAGTTCTATTGCACTGTACAATTCTGGTATAATCAGGCGGCGGCTGGGGGCAACAATGACGACGATGATGACGACGAGTTTCAGCCATTCGCCTCCTTGTTTGGGCGTTTTGCAGCTCAGACTCAGGCGGCTAAACGTTCAGCTGCAGCGCCGAAGGCAGTGCCGAAGAGCAAAGCCAAGCAATCGAAGCCACAGGAGAGCACATCTGTTGTCTGTTGAGTCAGTTGTCGTTTTAGGTTGTAGTGGGACAGAGTTTGATGCTTAGGTGGTGGGGTGGGCCGGGGTGGGCTCGTTCAGCCACAAATCTCGTCATCAACATGTAACACCGCCGCAGGATGATAAGCCGCAGGCTTCGGTCAAGGCGAGAAACAAACGGGCTGCGCCACCAGAGGCATCCGATGCTCCAGCGGCACCAACTAAGAAGATGCGAGGCGGTGAGACATCCACCAATGATGGCGACACTGAGTTGACGGACAAGTTCCAGAGAATGTTTGATTCGTGTCTCCTCTTGAATGATGTGGCGTCCTCCGACGAGGCAGCTTTTGCACAATGGGGCAAGGACAAGCTGAAGGTGATTCAGGACGTCCGAGGCCAGATGTACAGCAAGAAGAAGTCGCTGAAGCGACGGAGCTCGCAGATGTCGGACGACCTGGGCGACTTGCTTGAGGACCTCATGAACAAGTTGAGTCAGGTGTCTGACCTGGTGAAAAAGATATCGGCAGGTTGCCCTGAGGGGAGGCATGTATATGAAGGGTTGTCGAAGCTTTGTGACGAGATTGATGTTACAGCCTCGCCTCCCGTGTGGATGCGAGCGCTCAGGGCAATGGCTTTCGACAACTTGAAGACTAAGAATTGGAAGGAATTCTTCAACGATACATGGGCACTCTGCCTTCAGCACCTGTCGGGGTCCAGTTCAGACTCTTCATTCTTTTGTCTGCTGTCTTCGCAACTCCTGCAACGCCTGATCAAAGCGGTCCCCACCAGCAAGGGCGTGACACAGGAGTCGCTCGCCGTCGTGAAGTCGTTCGCTGATGTTATGACCGAGACATCGCATGTTGTGAAAACGTTGCCTAGCGGCATGTCGCACGAAGACCATGCCCGCATGCTGAACGCAGTCAAGGTGGTCTTGGATTTCAGTTCATCACCAGGCGCGGTCCAAGCCGCCATATCAGACATCATGCAGAACGTGGAGAAACATTGGGCGGCAGGCCAGCTCGAACTTGGACAGGGAAAGAAAATTCTCGAATCGGCGCTTCTGAACTCGAAGACCAAGGAATCCGTTGCTGAGGTTCTCAACATGGTGGATGAGTCGGAAATGTATTTGACGTTGTGCAGTTTGTGTAGCCTTGAGTCAGCATCCTGCCACGACATTATGTTTTTGAAGTTTTGTGTTGTCGCAGTCCACAGTGTTGAAGGTGACGGTGAAGTGCATGTCAGTGCATGTTGGGTTGTTGCAGAGAGTTACAGATTGTCACAATCTGTTACTTGGTTTCATTTCAGTGCTTCCAATCCCAGGCATCGTTGGTGTCGTTGAAGGCAGCTTTCAGCACCGAACATGGCACGGCGGTTATGACCTTCCTGCGGAAACTGCATGATAAGCAGACGAAAAGCTTGCGAGGCGCTGATCGGGACAAGCTGCAGCGTGTTCAGAAGACAGCCAAACAGGCTGTTCTGGCAATCGTGTTCGGCTATGTGAACCATGAGTTGCTGCCCTATCTGGATCAGCTTCGCCACTGTCTGACGGCAAAGGAGGCCTGCTCATCAACGATGTTGCCGCCGGGCTGTTGCATTATGCAGCTTGCGGACGATTGCAGTCAGTACTGCAGTCACGGCGAGGGGTCCGTGTTGGATCGGCTGAAAGAGCTATGTGAGTTCACAACAACTTTGGCCGAGAAATGCAGTGCTGAATCAGTTCCAGAGGGGGAAGCATCAGCTTTGTCTCAGCAGTGGAAGGTTAAGTCGTGTGTTTTCACAAAGTCGCTGGAAAGCTATGTGTGCAAGGCAACGGCTTCCAACCTGGAAGGCAGCGACAGCGAGGGTGCTAAGAAGATGGGTCTGATCGTCTCGACGGTTGTATCCTCGTGCGAGGCAGTGGGCGATGCTATCGATGTCTCAATGCGAGGTCATGTCAGAGAGAAAGTCATCTCGAACATCGACGATATCATCAAAACTATTGTGGCAGCAGCTCGGCCATGCCCCGACAATGCAGGTCTGACCCCTGAGGAAAAAACAAGTTTCTTTGAGAAAATCGAAGCAGCCAAGCTAGCCTCAACAGTCTTGGGCGATGACGGAGACACTGTTAGGCAGGGTACCGAAGCACTCGCTTTGTTGTTCACGTGCCTAACAAGCGATGTGTCTGCTAGTCATCGAGACTCCAACACGTCCATCGACCAGCAGCTCGTCATCGACTTCATCAAGTCGTGCAGCCGGCTGGCTGACATGGATTACACAACGGCCTGGGCCAAGCTGAACTCATTCACCAAATCAGTTGCAGATGAAGACCTGTCAGTCTTGACTTCGTCGGCGGCAACTATGTTTACGGTCAAGGACAAAGAGTTCGCAGCGCTGTCGCTGGCCATCAAGGAGAACCTCGACAGTGTGGCAATCAAGGAAGAGGAAGTAAAGATCCACGAGAGCATCCACGCGATTGAAGCCTTTACCGACATTGACAAGGACTCCGTGGTGGACATCCACTTCACTATGGCAATGTCGAAACGAGTTTCGGAGCAGGCCACAACGCTCGAGAGGGCCATTAAACAAGCCAAGGACGTTGCAGATGCACTGGGTGTGGAGGCCGATGCTATCGTGCCCAGCATCGCGCATCATGATGCTTGTTACCGACAAGCTTTGAATTGGCTGGTGACGGGCAACATGCTTTACTCTTTGGTTAGCAAGGCTGTGAGTAGGGCCATGGTCACCAACACAAAGCCACAGGGGAAGGCAATCGCGTCGCTCAAGGAAGCTCTCACTGCAGTGGAGGACAACACGTTGGAGGTTCCTGCAGCGCTACATGCTCTTGTGTCGAAGATCGTTCAGCAGCCCGATGCAAAGTCGGATGCCAAAGCAGCACAGTGAGGCACAGCACCGAATTTGACATGCTCTCTCACTGTCAGATGACAGCATGCATTGTGCGTGTTGGTTTGATTGCAGTGCAATTTGCACTATGGTAGCATTAGGTGAACAATTCGAAATCGCGACTTCGTTTGCGGTGCTTATGTGTGTACGTGTGTGGACAGTGTGGACCGTGGACGCACTGATTATCACTTCGAGGTGTCATGACATGAGCCAACCCTCCCAGCATCCTAATCCATAGCTTGTTATTGGCCCTGGCCCTGTACTCTAGTAACTCTAGTACACAAAATACTTACTGAGTATTGGTACTCATGAATCATAATCGAAGTGCGGTTGATTGTCTGTGGGGCAACAGGGCTCAGGGAAGTTGCGTGACACACCCACCAGCACAAACACGCTGCGAGACATCAAATTTGAATGATGTCATCATGCCGTCTTGCCAAACTGCAGAGCTATACTTGCAGTGACCTGTACAGATAGTTTGGTATCCAGTGTCAGTCCGCGTCACAAAGTTGTACTGTACCGTTTCAATACCCTCTTCAAGGCCCTCATCAGTGTCAGTGACTTTAATTTAATGCTTCTTGTGCATTATATATGTCGCGTCTACCCGGTTGAGCTTGCTGGGGCAGCATTGGCGAACTGGGGGGCGCCGGGACAGCTGGATGCTACAGCGGCGTACAGTATCATTTAGTGACTTTCAATTGACAAGAAGTGTCGTAGTTTAGTTTTGCATCAGCAATTCGAGCATGTCGAAAAATCAGGAGGAAGACTCAGCGAACAGAACAACAAGGGGCCAAAGAAACCGACACCGAATGCTGTAGAGGAGTGCGTGGTGGCATGCATGTGCTGTGTGCAGCAAGCTGTGATTCATGATTCATTTGTGGCAGTGGCAGCACATGACGGATCAGCGCAAGTTCTGATATTCACAGACATTTGTGCAGTGTGCAGGGAAGTGACAGTTTGCAGTACTTCGTACTTAGACTTAGTCAGTAGTTCACAGTGTTCACCGTGCATTTGTCATTATTTATGCTGCAACCGGCTAGATCAGTTAGCTTGACAGCTTGACTTGACTTTTCATGTGTTTGTTAAGTCACAGTCACAGTCTGTGAAGTTTATTGTTCGCGTCGTCTTTGCAATGCCGCCGAAGAAGAATGCCAAAGCGAAAGCTGAACCCAAAGCTAAGCAATCCAGTGGCAGGAGCAGGAGCCAGAGTCCCATTCCTAAGGCGAAAGTGCAATCAGCGAAGGCCAAAGCCACCCCTGCCTCGACCACAATGGCTCCTATTCAGCGACCAGATCCCGTCACCGGCGAGTTACGAAATGTGACTTTGGTGACACCTCCAGTATCCTCTGGAGACAGAATGGTTCAGCCTCTGACAGATTATTGGAGGTCGGCTTTCAAAGCAAGTGACAACGACTTCAGTGGAAAGAGACAAAAGCTGGCTCCAGATGGGGATGGCGAAGCGTCGAGTGCTGCTGCGGCAACAGTGCCTCCGCCAGCAGTGCCAACGGATTCACACGATGAGGGCGCCCATGATCAGAAATCAGATGATGTGGCGGCATCGATACCGCCAACAGTGCCGACGGATTCTCACGACGAGGGCGTCCATGATCAGAAATCTAATGATGAGGCGACACCGACTCCGACACAGCAGAATCCAATCGATGAGCTCATGGAGCAGGAGCTAATTGCCGAGCTGGAGACGCAGATTATATCCGAAGAAGGACGGTCTGTCAGTTAGCAACACATGTTTGACATCTGACAATACTAAATGGAGACTGCAATTGTCTTGTAGTGCCTGTCTGTTGTATGTTGAGTTCTGATTGTACGCACTGTGCCAGAGCTGCCAGAGCTGTTGAAGGAAATGGAAACGGTTCGAGGAATGGCAGCGACGCCGATGACAATGGTGATGACACTGCTCGCGATGACAATGCCGCCGGCTTGTTATCTTTTGACGAGATGGCCCAGGAGATTTGGAGAGGTTTCAATCGTTCCAAGTTCCAAGTTTCAACTTATTCATAGCATGGCGGCATGGCGTGCAACCTTTCCAGTGTTTTGAGACCATAAGCAATTGTGCTGCAGGAACAAGTGGCACAGCTTGCTTCGAAGCTGGGCCGCCCTGCGCTCGCAACTCTTGTCGCTAGCATGCCACCGAAATTCAGATTGCTTTCAGCATGCACCGGATGCGGATCGTTCGAGTTCGCCGCGAGAGCTGTTGTGAACGCATTATTGACTGATTTCGGAAACAGACGTGATGCAGAAGAGTCTTGTCAGAACTTGTGTGATAGCGTTGCTTATGTTTTCTTTTCGACAACTGATGTGATTGCTTGCTGATGGCACAGATGGTTGAGGCGAAGACAATCGTGGCATGCGAAATTGTGACTTTCAAGCAAAAATTCATCCAGAAGCATGCGCTGGACTGACCAGGGCCCAATGAGCTAGTGCTAGGGTGGATGTCTGCAAATCTGCCAATTGCAAAAAGAGCTTGTTGGAGTGACTTGAAGGACCTCGATTGCTGCCTCTACAAGGATATCACAAAGCTCGGCGATGACACATCTCGAATGTGTCTGACACATGAGGCTAATTGTGTGACTTGACTACCAGTGGTTCACAGCTGGGCCACGCTGCACTGCTGCACTGCAATTTGCACTTTTACACTCTGCTCAGAGCTCAACATTTTCTTAGGACCTGCCAGTGTTGGGTTTGCTCAGGAGCTTCCTTCAAGTACATATGCAGATGGTGCTGATGATCCGGATATCCTGTTCATCATGGCTGCTGGCTTCAGCTGCAAGCGGCTTCGGATGCAACCAAATTACCATGAGCCCCCCCCCCCCCCCCCCCC